AAGACGAAGAAATTGCGAGAACGGAATAGCATTAAGAGTGTGCTTAGGATGAGAAGACGAGTAGAGTAAATAAGAATGAGAGTCAGTAGGTTTGTAATGGACACTAGTGCTAAGACGGTCGTCATTAACACTAAGCAAGATGTCAAGGAAAGTGACTGATGTTTCACTAACCTCCCACGYAAAGTCTAAGGCAGGGTGAAAAGAGTTAACAAAAGAGATGAAAGAATCTAARTCATTACGCGAACAAGAAGTAGCACCAATACAATCATCAATATACCGTCCAAAAAACTCAGGTTTAGGTCCAGTATATTGTTGAAAAACAAGGTTTTCGGTATGACCAACAAACAAATTGGCATAACTAGGGCCCATCTTAGTACCCATAGCAACACCGTTTACCTGCCGATAATACCGATCACCGAAACAAAAACAATTAAGAGTAAGAACAAGTTCAGCTAAGCGTAACAAAGTGGGAGTGCTGGGCTCGAGGACAGGACGAAGATCGAAAAAATGCTGAAGAGCACGAAGGCCCTCATCATTAGGAATAACAGTATACAAAGATTTGACATCCATAGTAAACAATAGCTTAGAAGAGTTATCAGGAAAGCGAAAATCATTAAAAATACTAAGAGCGTGATTAGTATCCTTAATATAAGTAGGTAAAGACTGAACAATAGGCAGCATGAGAGAATCTAAATAGCTAGAGATGAGTTCGGTAGGACAACTACAAGCAGAAACGAGGAGTAATAACAAAAAGGTTTTTTATCAGTGGAAGGTAAAGAGCCATCAGAAATGAAAGAGTTAATAGTGTCTTTAACTAAATTTTGATTGTCAGGGGTAAGATCCTTATCCACTTCACAATAAAAATTAGTATCAGAGAATTGACGTAAAGCCTCCTGTTYGTACAGGTCAGAACGCCAGACAACAACTGTACCGCCTTTGTCAGCGGGCTTGATAACAATGTCAGAACGATTGCGTAATTGACGTAAAGCCAATCACTCGTCCTTAGAAAGATTGGTTGTATCGTCGTGTACGGGAATTGTCAGGGGAATTCTATTCAAATTCAAATTTCAAGTAATCGGCTAGTAATCGTACCCTACGATAGCATAACTTTAAACTATAATAAATATTTATGTGCACGCGCTGATGATACATCGTTTAAATTTGACTAAAAATGAGACCCACCCAACCGAATTCACTTCGTGGTCTAGGGGTTAGGTTTAGGGTTAGGGTTGGGGTTGGCATTGTAGTAGTTCTTTGGTGCCGAAGGTACCGAGTTCGATTCTTGGTGTCTTCACTTAATTTTTTTTCTAAGTTAGGAGAACCAAAATTTATAAGTCCCACTCGTGGGTTCGGAAACCTATGACGTACTTCGTTAATCCGTACACGACGATAGTACCGAAAGATTAGAGTAACTGAGTTTACTGTTAAGATTGAGATTAGAAATATCACGGCGACACTCATTGACAAAAAGATCAAGAGAAGAATATTGTCCCTCGGGAGGGACCCAGTTAGACTTACGAGGATCCACAAAGGCGCTCAAAGACATCACGTTCACAGTTAGAGTTAGAAGAGTCGGAGAAAAAAGCTTTAAGGCGAGTACGGCGAAAAAAAGATTCAGAATCTTTCTTGACCTGAAATTCATCAGATTTCAAGATTTCAATTTTTCAAGATTTCAAGATTTCAAGATTTCAAGATTTCAAGACTTCAAGATTTCAAGATTTCAAGNTATATGAATATAAGTACTAGATAATATAAGACTAGTGGAAATAATGTAAAAGCAGTAAAAAAAGGAAAAATATAATAGGAACTATTATTTACACTATTGGGCACAAACAAGCAACTAATATACCAATAGAAATATGAATATTAATATTTTAAATGAGCATGAATGAAATTCAGGCAAGTTAAAACCGAGTCGTAGCGGCCAGCGGCTACCCACCCCAATAATATGCGGTGGGGGTGGGGGATGGGACGCGTTTTTGCTAAGGACTAGTGGCAGCTTTGCCAGCAGTCTTGGTAGCTTTGGCTGTGAGCGTGCAGCAAAAAAAAATTTATCCCGCCCGCCCACTCCTCAATTGGTGGGAGCCAGGTGAGTATTATTCCACTGAGTGGTCAGTGTGATAGGTACCAGGTGGTGAGCTGTGGCCCGGTCGCCATGGTTACCTCCGTGGTAGGGCGTAGTCTGATTGATGCGCACAGCTCGCACCATGGTACCTAACCCCAAACTTATCTAGACGATGAGTTTTAAAGATGAATTAGCTTAAATAAGACTCCAGCAGACAATTTTTTAGTTCTTTCTTGCTAAGCATTTAATTTGCTAATCAATAAATTCCACACCTTTACACCAGTAAATCTAATATCAAATTTCCCATAGTTCTGTAGATATATACATTTCTGTTTACATGGGTTATAAATCTAATAGGATAATTTAAATATTATGCTATTCACAATAAGTAGAGAATTGTAATGTTAGAAGTTGATGTATGAAGAGGAAGGAAAACCAGAGAATCCGGTGCCAAAGACACTAGAAGCACAGGAGAGAACCAACAAGCAACTCTGAGATTTCTTTGTTCCCAATCACTATTCTCAGTTTTCCATCATCGGCATATATTTCTATAGAACACTTGCCATTCAGCTGGTAAAGACTACAAACTACACCTGAAATGAAGTTTATTGACAGTGACCGTTTGTGAAATTTTAAAATCATAAAAGCATTGATTGAAAACATTACTTTTTCCTTACTCAGTGATGGCCTCAGCCAGCTGGTACAAAGAAACAGATGAAAAGATCAACTACACCAAGCTTTGTAGGTTGCTTGTCGATGGAGGCACACAAGCAGTTTGCTCTGTATTTGATGGCAAATATCCACCATCGTCATTGAAAGCCTTCTTAAATGCTAACAAGACATCACTACAAAAGCTGAAGAAACCAAAAGGGAAAGTACTGAATAACGAGCAATGGGACAAACTGTATCCACCAAATGGGAGCGACCCTCAATCTAAAGACTTTGATATCACGTTACTGTTTGTCCTTCTAAGAAATATTTGTGGACTTACACGACCAGCAACTGGATGGGATGTCTTACCACATGCAACAGACAACTCACTAGAGGCTAACCTTGCCMGGATAAAGTACTACAGAAACAATGCAATAGCACACAAACCAAACACTGAAATAAATGATGCTGACTTTAAACAACACTGGCAGGATATCTCATCTGCTCTTCAATCACTGGGACTGTGTCAAGATGACATAGATGATTTGAAGTCTTCTCCTTTGGGAGAGAAAGACTACAACCAGTTACTCTACGATTGGTATATATCAGACAAGGATGTCAAAATACAGCTAGAGGATCTGAAGTCAGACCTCAAGTCAGACACAACAGACCTCAAGTCAGACACAGCAGACCTCAAGTCAGACACAGCAGACCTCAAGTCAGACACAGCGAACATCAAGTCAGACACAACAGACCTCAAGTCAGACACAGCAGACATCAAGTCAGACACAACAGACCTCAAGTCAGACACAGCAGACATCAAGTCAGACACANTTTGTTTTTTGTTGTTGTTGTTTTTGGTTTGGTTTTGTTTTGTTTTGTTTTTATTTGTTTCGGTTTTGTTTTAGTTTGGTTTGTTGTTTTTTTCCAAGTAAAATTAACCAGAAATTCAAAGCGTAACTGAAAATGTCGACCATGCAAAACTTTGTCGAAGAATTTTTCACAAACAAAACTAGCCCCTGGGGTGGTTGGTGGTGGGTTGTGTACATGTAACAAAATTCCTAAGTGGGAGAGTAGTAAGGTCGAAAACAAAGACTCGTATGAAGAAAAGGATGTAGTGCATTTCGATTTCATTTTTTCACTTCATGGTGATCATTATGGGGGCGTTATCTTCATCTCGAAGAAGAAGTAAAATTGAAAAAAGTTTTGCCCGATTTTATTTTCATCTTTCAGTTTTATCTAAATTGGGCTCCCTGTGCCTATTGGGAGCTCCGCTTTTAGGCAGTGCCTAAATTTATATTAAATATGTAATCCATATTACATAGGTACACTAAATTTGTTTATATATATATATATATATATATATATTAATCATATATTGTATATATGTATCGTCCTATACTATATGGTATGTATTATCCTTATGAATATTGGCTTCATATTTTCTAGCAATATCTTAACTTGTCGTAATATACCTATTACAGTGCTGCGCGCCGAACCGTGAACACCCAACAAAGTTTCGTACAAGTTTTTGACAAGTTTTAATCGATCTCTTTACCGCTAACCAATTATGTTTTGGCGCTTCACTTTTATGTTTCGCTATCGTTACATCGATGTACGGACTTCGCCTATTCAAACATCAAGGAGAAGCGCTGATGTCTAATCGGTTAGCGATAGAGAGCGCAATTAAAATTTGTCAAAAAGTTGTCAAAATGATGTCAAAACGAAACCAAAAACTTTGTTGGGAATTCACGGTTCGGCGCGCAGCACTGTAATAGTAATTGTGTATTTATTCCACACTATGTTTGCAATGTAACATAATTTGCCCTAATATATGATGCCGTAACATGAAAGCTATATTTTGTCATAGGGCTATATCTTGGGCGTGGGAGGGAGACAAGATCTAGAGAGCAACAACATATTAAGGAAAACTCGTAAAATCGTATTTTTATAAATTAGACATGCATAGATATGATTGTTGTCTGATCTTTCAAGAACGTCTCTTTGTTACTTTATATATATATATATTATTTCCCTCCTGTCATTCGACCGCGTTTCTAAACAGAAACTAGGGAAGGCTGGTAAGGAATTATGTTAAATATTGCCGTCAACTCTAGAGGGTTACTAATGTTAAAATCCTGTTTACGTTCATCTATGATGGTCTCCCCTATGTCCCTTTTTACTTTTCACTTCACGGATTTCTTTTTGATCCTTGAAGCTTTGATAAAATTCCTTTTACCTGGATCATGAAAATGTTTTTCAAAATGTTTCCTTGAACTTCGTCTTAAGCTGAGCAAAACTGATGGGAAAATTATTTTACTTCCAGGTTCCTCGGTGTCAACATCTGCAAGAAGTAGGGCTGGTAAGGAATTTTGTTAAACATGACTGTAAATACAAAAGGGCACTAGCTGCAATCTTTCCCCCCCCCCCCCCCTGCTTTTCTTAAACGGCCTACCTGTCCTTTTACTATTCCTTGTCGTAGACTTTCTCATGTATGGCGCGTTTTCGGGGTCAAAATTAACTATGTGTACCATTTGACTTTTGAAACACAATCTCTATGCATTACTACTTTTGAAAACATACTGTTCCTTGTCTTGCCGACTTTTCTTGAACTCTTAAACTTGTTATGGCCGTTGAATATGAATAAGAAAACTTATTTGTAAATTATTTTTCTTTCAAAACTTGAAGGCGAAGAAAAAAACATTCTTATTAGCCTTAGTAACCAATTACGACTATAAATACAATTTAAAGTTTATATAACTAGCCGTTACCCCCACTTCTCGTTTTTCATGCCCTTCTTATATCAAATCATATAATTCGCTTTATAATTGTATAGCTACCTATTAATACCATAGAGGTAGCTATCCAATCTTTTTCTTGACAGTTCTGGAGAATTTCAAATGCCCTCAATTATAATCTAATTTTTGGGAACATAACCTTTATTCTATTAAGTAGCTGTATTCCTTTGCTTCTTTTTTACGTAGTTTTCACGTTCATTTGGTGTTTTGATGGGAAATAATGAACAAAAATTAAGATTTAATGCAAAATTTAATGTGGGATCCCATTCAGCTTAAAAAACTAGCACTTCCACGTGAAATATCCTCCTGTTTACGTCATCTCTGGCCAATCAGCGCACGCATTTACAATGACCTATGAAATTCTATATTGAAATATGACAATTATAAGGATTTTCTACATTTCACATGTTCCACCAGAACTTTTCGAGAAACAGCCTTCCATTGAGGTAAGCTTAAGAATTATTTACTGAAATGTAATAAATTCCATGCCCCTGAATTCAGCATATATACATTTCAAGTTGTTTGAGGTTAACGCCCGTCCACACTATGCCGGATAAATTTGAATCCGAATTTTTATTTATTCGGTTACATTTCAAAAATTCGTTTTCGGTGAAGAATTGTTCCGGATTCGCTCGGAGTAGTGTGGACGGTAGGCCTAACCGAATACTAAATAAAAATTCGGAATCAAATTTATCTGGCATAGTGTGGACGGGGCCTAAGATGCATTTATGATTTTCATACAATTAGCTTATATACTTTCTTAAACTATTAAAGTAAAGTTACGTTCTGATATGCATTATGAGATGCTGTTTATGTTTGATTAATTTGTTGTTTTGTTTTTGTTGTTTTTGTTGTTGTAGTTTTTTTTTGTTTTTGTTTTTACTTTTCACTTTATTCTTTATTATTTGTCTATTGCATTTGTTTGTTTTTAGCATCATCTCTTTGTTTTAGCATTCAAATAAAATTGCTTTATTCTTTGCCTTGTGAGAAGCTTTATATATATATTTGATTAATTATTATTTTTGTTTTGTTCTTTTCATTTTATTTTATTTTTTATGCATTTTTTCTTTGTTTTGTTTTGTTTTGCTTATTTTGCTTTGTTTTGTTGTTTTTTTTTTTCTTTATTTGTTCGTATTTTGTTTTGTTTGATTTTTTTGTTATGTTTTTTTAGGCATCGCTGGTTATTCAAAAAGTAGAGACTGTTGGTTTTTTTTAGGCATTTCTGGTTCAAAAATTGGAGACTGTTGGACTGGAAAGCGCCCCTCCGGAACCTTCTGGTAAAGTAACTATAAACACAGGTAGCCCAAGCTTGGTTTCTGTGGTGTCCTGTTATAAGGAAATGTATGGGGAATCATCAAAAATTTCAATAAAATCATTGAAACGTGAAATAAAGCCTCGAAATTTTACCCGATCATTGAGAAATAGCACTTCTTTCGCTCTGCGTGGTTATTTTTTGAATTTAGCCCGTTTTAAGGATTTTTTTCCCCACCAGTAAGAAATAAGAGAAGGTTGGAAACTCGGGATCCAAAAGCGAGCCATCACGAGTCTTTGAAACCTCGTACGTCTTCGAATTTTCTTTCCAGCGCCAAATTTTAGTAATGACCCTTCTCTCACATCCCTATAGAACCGAGAAAGTCGCATTAGAGATTAGTCTTCGCGTCTTTAAGCCATGAAATTTGCCTGTATTCACATACTACCTCGCTTGTTCTGACCCGTACTTGGAGCTCACTGTACACCAGTTCAACGGATTTCTTTCGGCAACCGACCCGAGGTCACGCCGGAAGTCTTCGTATCGTAAATGCGGATTCGATTTGGATATCGTATTTCTTCGAAATTATAAGTTAAATACTTTTGTATCTTAGGCTGTTAAAAAATACACTCACCATAATTTTCGAAATCATAAGTTAGATACTTTTGTATCTTAGGCCGTTAAAAAATACACTCACCATATAATTTCGAAGAAATACGATATCCAAATCGAATCCGCATTTACGATACGAAGACTTCCGGCGTGACCTCGGGTCGGTTGCCGAAAGAAATCCGTTGAACTGGTGTACAGTGAGCTCCAAGTACGGGTCAGAACAAGCGAGGTAGTATGTGAATACAGGCAAATTTCATGGCTTAAAGACGCGAAGACTAATCTCTAATGCGACTTTCTCGGTTCTATAGGGATGTGAGAGAAGGGTCATTACTAAAATTTGGCGCTGGAAAGAAAATTCGAAGACGTACGAGGTTTCAAAGACTCGTGATGGCTCGCTTTTGGATCCCGAGTTTCCAACCTTCTCTTATTTCTTACTGGTGGGGAAAAAAATCCTTAAAACGGGCTAAATTCAAAAAATAACCACGCAGAGCGAAAGAAGTGCTATTTCTCAATGATCGGGTAAAATTTCGAGGCTTTATTTCACGTTTCAATGATTTTATTGAAATTTTTGATGATTCCCCATACATTTCCTTATAACAGGACACCACAGAAACCAAGCTTGGGCTACCTGTGGTTTACATAGCCTGATAGCAACACTCGGGGGGTTAGGAAAATTCTCGACGGTTATGCAAACCCTCGACTACGTCTCAGGTTTGTATAACTGTCTCGAATTCTCCCAACCTCCCCTCGTGTTGCTATCAGGCTATGTAAACACGGAAAAAGTTTTCTATTGCTTAAACATAAAGCACTTCAAAAGCTTCCAAAAGGCTTTAAATTGCTGGGAAATGTTAATCGGTCAACGCGCTAGCCGATTTTATCTATGATATCGAAGTATGTTCATGTTACTGTTTTTCATGTTTTTTTAGCAAATATCACAAATTGGTTTAAGGTCCTGCAACTCCTTAATAAAAACGATGTTAAACTTGCTTACCTATTTGTATAATTCATAGATATATATATATACCTGAATTCATAAAATCGAAGAAAAAAATTTAAAAACTCAAACTTAACTAAAAGAAAAAAAGAAATGAAAAAAGAAATGAAGACGATGAAAGAAAAAACTCGTGCTTTAGTGATCAAGATTTGAAAACTCTGAGTTAATGTATCCGGCGGGCTGCATGTGCCGGAGACGTATTCAGATGACACAAATTGCCAGCAGAAATTCACCCTATAAAATTTGCGGTTCTGCAGGAATTCTTCCGAATGTATAAACCACTATTTATATATAATATGTTATGACAGCCTGCAATTTTGATGCGAAGTCGATGATCATCGACGTCAAAACGAACTTAGAATTTACATATCATAGTATTCAGTGAACCCCAGGTACTCTCAAAAAAATGTATTTATTGCTAAATTATTCGAAGATGTAAAGAATACAGCGCTAAGCACGAGGAAGACAACTTCGTTACAACCCGTCAAATGACTGATCCTGTGTGGGATGATGCCTGGATTATCAGGTAGAACTTGATACATATTATCAGAGTTAATGGAGGGGTCCCCTCTATTATCATTAGGGTGTTTTGGAACATTTTTAAAAAATTCCAAGTAAATACATCCAGCTGACGAGAAGCTCTTGACATTTCTAAACAAAGATAAACCAGTTTAATTCGGTTTGATAACGTTTTCACAAGGTTATTAAAGCTTGGACTGCCGGACATAAAGCGTATTAAATAACCTAGTGCCTGCTTCTCGAAGGCCTCTTCTTGAAGGATGTTTACATATTCGTTTAAAATTTACAATTTATTTATTTCAAAGGCCACCGTATACAATTTGTACATTGGCACATGGCCAAAGAAAATACATTCAATCAAAATCTTATAAATCATTCTTTGTTCATTCTTTTCTTACATTTTTGTTTGCATCTTCGTTCAATTTTAGCTACTTCTTGCAAAGAGCTGGAGATTTGTTTTAAAGATTTAAGTCTTGCAACGATTGACACCAATGAAGCGGCTTCAAAAGTTGCAGATTTACTAAATCTAGACAAGGTTTCAATGAATAATCCATCGGAAGAAATTGTGGTGAGATGTAGAGAATTCTGCTCTTACTTGAAAAGCAATGAAAGAGATGATATTGTAAAGAAAATAAGGGATTTGCTTCCAAGTGGAATGACAGGTTAGTGTAATGGGACTCTCATATCTCTTCTTTGTCTCTGACTTATGGGACCATCCATTACAGACTATTAACGTGGCATGTACAACCTTGTCTTTCTGAGAATCGTTTTTATTAAGTTTTTGTTTTTATAATTTTTCTCATTGGCATTTAATACATATCATTTTTCTTTCCATTCCACCCCCCTGAAAATAAGATTTTTGCTTTGAGTTACCAATTTCTCACTCGTTACCATGCGCATCAAGAATACACCCATCTGCCTGTGGCGTAATGTTTTCCAATTTCAGACAACATGTCATTTCCTTGAAAATTAGCCATTCAAAGGTTGGTATTTGAGTGCATTTTGGGAATGTTTCAGGGGACGAAATAGACGCCATCTTGAAAATATGTATTCTTAAACAGCCCAAAAATAGGCTGCAATGCCAACTCGACCCAGGGTTTTCCTCATCCTTGGAACGACATTTAAGACTTCTAAGACTTCCTTAGTGTAGTATATGAAATTAAGTCTACCGGGAAACAAAAGAAAATTGTAAAAAGAAGAATACGTGCACTATAGCTGGTATTAAGTTAAACTCAAGCTTAAAGGATATATTATATGTGTATTTCATGGAGAAATTAAAATGTAATTCCAAGATTGGTTCTAATGTTTAAACACAGGGCCACTTACAAATGAAAAGGTACTAGTGGGAGACATGATCGGCAAACTAGAAGACCTTACTCGATCTTTGTGCGGTAAGAAACGATTTCAAATAGACATAAGCTAAGCATCTGATGGAACTGTGTATTTTCATGCATGAGTCGCACATTATTTTGGCAAGCCTTCAGACAACCAAAAGTTTGTAATAGTTAAAATTACGCAGTCTTACTGAGATGCTTAGAAGAATATTATACCATTATGCAATAGTCGCCTCTTTGCTGTTCCCTGCTCCATCTTGTTGAAAGGTAGCCGTGCCTTAGCATCGAGGCGAGACGGATGGTGAGATGGTAATATGAAGACATGTGAATAATTGTTCCAGGTGTTAGAAAAATGTCTTTATCATGTCTTCGTGACGTGAAGGAAAGCCATTCGAATCTTGCTAAGTGATACAGTCCTACATTTTGTGCATTTATATTCATATTGAGTTTGTTCTTTACATAATTTTATAATAATATGTCATGTTAAATGCTATTTTTCCAAGGTAATGATTTGTGGAAGAAAATGGCTGATCATCTTGGCATTCGTCCCTGCTATTTATGGTTTCATGATAGGAAGAAGAACCCCGCAAAGAGTATATTAGAAGACGTTTGTCGCAAAAGAAGACTTACAATTGGAGATTTGTATGATGTACTCTGCAAGTGTGATGCCAATGCACTTGCTGACGAGTTCTTGTAGCCTTGCGTCGTCCTTTCGTTTATATTAGTTTAACTAGACTAGACTAGGACTAATCGAAAATCTCAGAGTTGGAACAAGTACATTTTGCCAAATCTCCAGCAACTTTTGATTATCAGCAAAACTCAACGATAAATATATTTTCGAGCGCTGTCATTAGTTCAAATGTATCACGTGCAGGACCGATATCAGACGACGGCCCGTTCGAAGTGATATCCATCCAGTTAAAAGATATATATACGTAAATATAAAGAGAGAAAAAAGCATAGGAAAACAAAGAAACTAGGTTTTCACATACAAGTGAGAGTGAAATTAAAAAAACTAGTTGAGAAAACTACGCCAGTAAACCAAACAAAATCATCAAAAAACCATGTGTAGATGATGATTCGTAACCTTTTGTTAGCAACCTCTATTCAAGCGGAGCGGTTACAATATCTAATAAATCCTTTCTGGCTCACCTAAAACCATATACTCACAAAGGACGTTTCTAACACAGTTTCATCTTTAAATACCGTATTTACATGTTTACCTGTTAAAACAAGTAATCCGTCTTGGTGTATCATGACGTAGGAAGACAGTACAGAGAAAAGAATGGTTCTGGAGCCATATACATAATGTGTAGCCAAAAATTTAATACAAAGTGAATGCAACCGTTAAAGAATATAAAACAATGTTTTCTGTATAGATAAAAAGCGGAAAAAAAGGGTTTTTTTTCCTTCAGGTTTGTCAAATACCGCTTCAAGATCAAGTTTAATGCTTACAATCGTCTAAAATGTGTTTCATTTTGTTCTCCGATGCGTTTTAATGCTGTCGTTAAGCTGTTTATTTTTGTTGGTGAATACTCCTACTCGTGCACAAAAATTACACAAGGCTGGCATCTCAAGGCCGTCTGGACGCCAATCGCACTCGCATTCTCCTCGAAATCTACCGGGGAAAAAATTCTATGCTCTCCAAACTCTGCATGGCACGTTAAAGAATGATAATGATTAAGTCTTCTGGCAAGGTTTGAGAAAAATCACCTGAATAAAAAAGAACGGAAATAATTTTTTTGTAATTTAACTTTCTGGATATGATCCGACAGTTTTCAGTAATGAATATTAAAATCCTTACCTTGAATTTTTATAAAATTCGCTGAAACAATCACACAGAAGATAACTAAGGGTGACAAAAAGACGCTGTGAGTGTTTCGGCGAATTTTATAAAAATTAAAGATAAAAATTGTAAGTTGTGGTTCGAGTGACGGTTTAAATTCTTGGAATTGTTTTTTGTTTTGGCGCTGCACTCGAGTAGACATATCATGCTACTGCTCTATTCTGATTGGTTATAAAAAGGGCGGGATGGGGCAGGTGGTTTTTCCTCCTCCCTCCCTTCCCCCTCCCACCCCTCCCCCCACCAAAAAAATCCGCTGACAACGCAGGCTAAGGAAATGGAAAATGAAGTTTCCATAATAAGAAATATTCAATTCCTTTTTATTTTATTTGTGCTTGGAGTATTTTAACAGACTAATAATTACACCTAAATAGAAAATAAAGGGATTATGATTTATCCCCAACCCCCCCCTCTCCTTCGCGCAATTTTTTGTCACTGAATCGGGTTCCCTGTGTATAGAATTATATTTTTAGCGTCTTACTGATTTCAATATTTTATGATTAGTTCGTCACTCTCCTTCTCGTCACTTGAATACGAAAAATAATAGCTCCTCAACTGAGTCTTTTTATCATCCAATTGCACGCTCTAAGCCATGGTTTACAGTTTGTGTCATCTTCTTTAGTGGGTCTTCTTTTGCAGAGCGTCGAGGTTAGTCAGTAAGGTTGTTTTGAATCACATTTCCATGAATTTGTGTCGAATATTTGAGTTCTGTTTGTGGCTTTGATATTTAATGCTTTAAAACAGTCCTTAGCTTTGGGTTTTATTTTCCTTCAGATGTACCTTAAATAATAGGAACCTATATACTTGAGATCATAAGCTTAGTAAGTAACTGAATATGTACTGAAATGTTTCAACAATACTGGTGAACAATATTTTAWTGAAGTCAACTTTGTACTTTATCAGTGATTTATTCATTTTGTTCAATCTCTCTTGCAATAATTAAGCTCTCCCTGTTATTCTTGATAGAAAGTGTAATATTCCTTATTTGAATCTCACGAGTATTATCCAGGCTTGAATTCTGTATTGGTTCCGAGATGGAAAGTTTTTATCATTTTAAAATTCTCATGAGAGGATAGCAAATCATTTTGCTTGGCCCGTCAAACCACGACTGTGTAATAACGATAACTTAAAAAAATAGAAATTAAGGGGGATAATACTTTCAAGACAATTGGAACACTAAAAAGATTAGGGAAAAAAATGAGGAAAAGAAAAAAGAAAAAAAAAAGTAAAATTTGTTACTGGGATCCCTAGTTCATTTACTCCGCCATGTTAAATTTCAGTTGTGACTAAAGCTGGCTAAGGTTAGTGATTATCGATCAAAAGTGTGCAAAATTCAATCTCTTTACTCTAATACATTATGTTTATGGTTTCAGAGTACCAGACTAAAGCAGTGGTTCTCAATTTGGGTATTTTAAGACGGACATAAAGACGCCATTCTCCTTTGAAACACTTCCGTTTTGATCTTTTCCTGATCTTTTAGTAACGAAGTGGAACGAATACTTTGAACTGAAATTCGATAAAACTCGATCAATTGCAGACTATAAGGTAAGGTAACAAGTGTTATTTAGCTTCATTTCTGTCTAAACTTTATTGACGCAACACGTTCTTGATATGCGATGAAAAATATGAACATGTTGTGAACCGGGTGTCGACAAACCATGGACCCTACCTTTTGGACCCCCTTTCTGGACCATAATCTGGATCACCAACTGGACACATATCTGGAACCCCGGTTTAACCATTAAGACAATTATTTTCATGTAAAATAACTGATTATATAAAATAGTTGGTCTTTTTTCAGCGTTCTTTCCTTTCTTCGAATTAAGGCCGCCATTTTGTCTCAACCGCTGACCTTAGAACTTTCTCTAAGAAACTTAAAGCCTCTTTTCTTTCTACTTATTCTCCTTCAGATCCTGTTTAATGAATACCTTTTTCTCTTTGTATGTGAATGTCTAGTGTGTGCTTTTCATTTTATTTTCTTTGATGTGTGTGTGTTTTTGTGTGCATACATAGGATTTAGATCATGTAAATAGTAATACAGTACGTATAAATAATTTAATAATCATAAATATATATAATAATGTATATATAGATACCGATCGATAATGTAATCTTTATTTTTACAATAACTTACAAATTTCTCGCGCGCTGATTGGTTATTTTTTATCATCAATAAGAGGACAGACAGATAAAGCTGACGTCAACGAGCGCGCGCTCTTTCCGTTGGTTGTTTTGATTGCTAAAAATGAGAAGTTTTTATCGTTTTTGTTATTGTAAAAAACCAATTGACATCAGATTTTTATGTGTCTGTCCTCTTATTGACAATAAATTTCGCCATCACATTGTCAAAGTAGTGTGGATCCACTCGGCTACGCCTCGTGGATCCACACTACTTTCACAATGTAATGACGCAATTTATTGTCAATAAGAGGACGGACACATAAAAATCTGATGTCAATTGGTTAAATTTTAGTCTGATTTTCTTCCCATTATTCTTTGTAATTTCAGATATTTGTGTTACCTAGCTCGTTTAGCTTTATATAGTTATTCTAGGTAACTTCTACTATTCTTTTGTAAATGTACTTATATCTATATTTTTCTCTATTGTAATCTTTGGTATAAATAAAGCACATTGTATTGTATTGTATTGATATGAGGAACATTTGGCTGACAGACATGTCCACAGGAAGCCCAAGTGGTGTATTTGCGTTTGTTACAAACCAATGTATCTGAGAATTTTGAAGCCTTAAAACTTGGTGAAATGTCATCTGCTTTTTTCGTTTCCTTAATTTAATTTGGGCACTTTTAAAATAAGCCCTTATGGAAACTGAGCCTGCAAGCCAGGTTGAATTGTAAAGTAAAAATTTAATCAAGTTGGATCAAAACTAATTCAGAGCGAATTTTGGGCAATTTTATTCTCGCTCGCATCGCAAACCTGGTGCGCCAATTTAACTGGATATTTTATATATAATGTGATTGGATAATCCCACAGGGAGCCCGGCTTTGGGATTTGTACATGAATAAATAAATCAATAAAGTGCTTTGAGTTTCCTGTGTTGAGATTTGAAACAAGATACGTTGAATTTCCGGTAATCGTATTACCAGTAACTTGATAGCAGATTAACGTAACGTATCAGTGTAACGCACGCCCTAGTAAATGGTAAGAAAGAGAGAAGCTTCTCTCTTTCTTACCAATTTTCAAACCAAAATTCAACGTATCAGCGTCTTGTTTCAAATCTCAACACAGGAAACCAAAAGCACTTTATTGATTTATTTATTCATGAACAAATCCCAAAGCCGGGCTCCCTGTGATTATCCTAGATTCTAACAGTGTATTTTATTTTAAGATTTTTTCTCCTCATCCACAGCAGGTGCCCCCCCCCCCCCCCCCCCCCCCCCCCCCTCCCCCCCCCCCCCCCTTCCCCCCCCCCCATAAAAGCTTAAGGTCTACTTACTTTTGGATCTCCTTCTTCTTCTTCTTCCACAATTCTGTCTGCCGAGTTTGGAGAAAATCTATAGAGTGACAGTTGCGTCGCAAGATAGGCCTAAAAACTTACCATAACTATAAAAGAACAGTGACAATAAAACCTATTTGAAGACTTCTCATCTGAAGGATCTTCATGGTGCTGAACTATCTTTCTCTCAATCTTTCTTCTCTTCAACCCCCCTTGATTCGTTTTGGAGACTTTCTCTTTATACGTAACAAGCATGGAACCATCAGGCTTTTCTCCAAACTCAATCTGCTCATGGCTCAACTCGCGTAGTTCTTTCCCTCCACGAAGAACGAACAATTTCCCGGAAAGAAACATAAGGGTGTTGATAACAACTCCTTTGCTCCACATTTCCGTATCAGTGATATGGTTGCAATCTCCATCAGAGCGTTAAATCTAAAATTGCCTTTTATGGTCATCAATTGTCTTCTAAACTAAGAGAGAATCGCTGAACCAACTAGCTATGAACCAATCAGAGATGTCGTATTTTATTATCGTCGTTGACTGTGATAGCATCCGCCTGCATTTTAAATGGTTGTTTTGAAGCCTGTAGCTCTTTTAGGCGACCGTCGAGTGTTTGCTGAAATTTCTTTAATTGAGTTGAATGAAAGATTGAAATTACTGGATGAACTTCTTTGATTACACGACTCAAACCACAAAATAAACTGAATAGAACTTCGTGTCGGTAATTACTGCCATCCTTCTTCTTTACTTCAACCGCAAATCTACTGAACCAGTAGTCTATTTCCTCGATTGTGATGTTTTCTAGCATCGGCACACTAGGAAATCTTACGTTTTCTGGCTCAAAATCTTCGAACGCTTTGTTTCTCTCTTTGGCCCAATGCTTATAGACAGTGGATCTCCAAAGTGTATGCCTTTTGGTACTAAAGGGGACTGTCTTTTCCCTTGCTTTCTCCACTTTTTCTTGGGATACGAAAGAAAAACGTCTTTGAGTTATCCTAGCGAGCTTAAACTCGAATGAATATCATCAGTGCATATGCAAACGACTGAATGAATTTCGAATTATGAATGTGTGTGCAATTGCATTGTGTCATTTAAAAAAAAGGCAAATTCCCTAGAGGCTTTGCGTAAACCAGCAGCTTTGTAATACTCTGTAATTTATGCATCTAACTATATCTAACACATTTTTCTATATTTCTAGTTTTATTCCTCGGAAATCATGTTATTACAAAGTAATTACATGACTTTTTCGGGATATTAATCATTAAGTGTCCACTCGGCCTCGGGAGGTTTAGTAAAAGTCCCTCGGCCTGCGGCCTCGATTATATTTTCATCTTTCAGTTTTATCTAAATTGGGCTCCCTGTGCCTATTGGGAGCTCCGCTTTTAGGTTCTCCGCAGTTCCTAAATTTATATTAGAATAAATATGTATATCAATCAATCAATCAATCAATCA